AAAACAGTTTGATTTTGATGAAACCGAAGCCAATGACAGCACAGCAGCCGAGCTACTGCTGAGGTGACGCAAGTGTGATGAGAGCGTGAGTGAGACGATTGTCAACAGAGGTGCTACTATATGATTTCCATCCTGACTACTCCGTTTTCCTCATCTCATTTACAAGCAGAGAAAAGCTGTGGCGGTCAAGCATGTAAGGCTTGGCTTGTCCTCCCAGCATCAACCCCTCCACGCCAAACAGATGGTTCCTCTCATCACCTGTACCGGCCTGGTTCCATTAAAGATTCTTCTGAGTAACAAACCATCTGCCATCTGAGGTTTCAAGATCTTCCCTTTTTTCATTAACACCTTTGCTCTTCCAAATGATGGCGTCTGTTACTCTCATCCAGTCCTATCTTCTGGTTTAACCTTTTCAGCCGTACAACCTGTGCACTGCTCAAACTGTATGTTCTATGTTCTCTAATTCTGTGTACTAAGCTGACCAGCCTGCTCTTCTGATCCTGAGTTATGTGTTTCTTTCCAGGAAGAGTTAGAAACGGTCATGCAACGCACACTCTATTAGTGACGGGGAGCTGACCATGGTCCTGAAAATTTATTTCATGCAGGGGATTCCCTTTTTTTGACATACCACCAACAGGATAGGTGATTCAGGATAAGGTGACGTTGAACCCAGAACCTTCTGCATGCCCAGTAAAAATCCTACATTTGCACCTCCGTAGTCTGAGGAGTAACCTAGTCTTTTATGATCCCCAGTTAACTACAACAGTCAAATTAATGAGGTCCATTTATAAACATCTCTAGGGTTCCACTCTTGTTCCCTGCAAAAAAAAGAAAAGAAAAGTGGCTTCACCCTCGGAAAAACCCTTTTCTTTGTTGACCAACTTGCAACTATGCCAGACCTGTAGATCAACTCCCAGGCTGATTAACAGAGCACAGAGCTGTTCCAACACACAGTTATGTGCTACACCTTTACAGCAGAGTAATGACTCACTTATCAGGCACAGGGTGAGGAAGGATTCAAGGGCATGAATAATTGCTCCCTGCTGTGCTCCTGATAGAGGAAGATGGAGCTCCCTGATGTACGCCTCTCTTCTTTTTTACTGTCTGAACCAGCCCTAAGCATTACGTTTGCCCCATATCTGCCATTTCCCAGCACACAAGATGGATCATGGGATAAAAATGACACGGATGCAGGAATACCGGAGTCAGCGGGAAGTAGAGGGTAAATTTGGAAACTGAAAAACTATGGCTTCTGGGTTTCTCCAAAGGCAGAATGCCCAAACTATTTTCAAGGAGGGCAAAACCAACAATGACAAAATAATGGAGTCACGTGAGTGAAATGGAATGTTTTTCTTTTAACTGTTTTGTAATTTGACATTTATTATTATTCGCTTTGATCGCACAATTTTTCTAAGCCAAAAAAGTCTTATGTCAGTGAAGGATGTAAAAAGGTTGATATTTTAGAGCATTCTTAATCAAACACAGCTAACATACCAGGATCAAATACTATCATAAAATATTCAAAATATAAATGAACAAAATAGATTTACAAGATAGCAAAGAAATAACTTTGAGTTTAAACATTATTCAAATATTGTAGAGAAACCTAAAGGCTAATTGAAATAGCTTCAGATTCACTGAAATTAAAAGGGTCAGACAAAGATAACTGAAGGTTATCTGGTCGAGAATTTGGCTAAAGTTGGAAAAAATATAGCTAAATGTTAAATAAACACAAAAACAATGGCTGGACAAGAAAAAGGTCTGTAGTAGATTACATATATTCCTGATCAAATGCTAAACCCTTGACACATGCTCCACTGTTCTGTGCTGACAGATAGTATTTATCTCCCATTGTTGATACAACAGCCACGACTGTAGGGTGTCCATGTGATGATTGCACCAGTTTGCACGGTGAATACAAAGATGAGAATTCATGCACATCTGCAAAGGGTGTTGAGTGAAGAGCAGAAATTGTTATTCAGTGTTGATGGTGGCGACCATTATCAGCACCAACAGACTTCATGCCGCTGTAGTACAAATCGTACTCGGCCCATTGTTATCCATCTCTGGCTCTTTTTTCTCTTCTCCAAAGGCAGAATGCCCAAACTATTTTCAAGGAGGGCAAAACCAACAATGACAAAATAATGGAGTCACGTGAGTGAAGTGGAATGTTTTTCTTTTAACTGTTTTGTAATTTGACATTTATTATTATTCGCTTTGATCGCACAATTTTTCTAAGCCAAAAAAGTCTTATGTCAGTGAAGGATGTAAAAAGGTTGATATTTTAGAGCATTCTTAATCAAACACAGCTAACATACCAGGATCAAATACTATCATAAAATATTCAAAATATAAATGAACAAAATAGATTTACAAGATAGCAAAGAAATAACTTTGAGTTTAAACATTATTCAAATATTGTAGAGAAACCTAAAGGCTAATTGAAATAGCTTCAGATTCACTGAAATTAAAAGGGTCAGACAAAGATAACTGAAGGTTATCTGGTCGAGAATTTGCTTAAAATTGAAAAAAATATAGCTAAATAAAAAAAAATAAACACAAAAACAATAAATAAACACAAAAACAATGGCTGGACAAGAAAAAGGTCTGTAGTAGATTACATATATTCCTGATCAAATGCTAAACCCTTGACACATGCTCCACTGTTCTGTGCTGACAGATAATATTTATCTCCCATTGTTGATACAACAGCCACGACTGTAGGGTGTCCATGTGATGATTGCACCAGTTTGCACGGTGAATACAAAGATGAGAATTCATGCACATCTGCAAAGGGGGTTGAGTGAAGAGCAGAAATTGTTATTCAGTGTTGATGGTGGCGACCATTATCAGCACCAACAGACTTCATGCCGCTGTAGTACAAATCGTACTCGGCCCATTGTTATCCATCTCTGGCTCTTTTTTCTCTGTTTCTCTTCGTGCCTGTAATCGCTCCAGCGCTCTGCTGTCAAAGTGGCTGCTGTCCTATTTTCTCATTATATTGTTGCATCTATTATTTACTCTTCACACCGTCTACTTATTCAATTCTGCCACCTGAATGTTTGGATTAGGCTGAGCTTGTTTGCTTGTGCAGCAGAGCGGTGGCTTTAGCTTCAGCTGGAGAACCAATCCAAACCTGTGAGGCAGTTTCATCAGCCTTTCTCTTTCAGAATATTACAAAAAAAAAAAGAGAGAATGCTGCCATGAAAAACCGTTATTTTTAAATGTTTAATTGCTGTTCTTGGAAGAATAATCCAGTCTAATCAGTTTTTCTTCCACAGCAGCTGCTCAGGATTTTGAAACTTATCTCATTATTTCGGTTTAAACTCTGTCCCCAAGAACTGTAACACAATTAGCTTTAGCGGCTGAAGAAAAACATCTGGATTTAAGAAATGCACTGTGATAATATTTTGACGATATAACTGCATTTTTAACTGGATGTGGTAGGAAAGACTTTTACTAAAATCTGAAAATGAACACAACCATTAACACATTAATTGGCTAGGCTAATGCTAACCATTAGTATTGTGTTTTAACATGTTTTTCCTACATTGGATAACCGAACACAATTTTCACTATAATAATATATATTCCATATGTAATAGAAGACAATAATGTAATTACTGTACAGTTAATTATTCAGTGTAAATCCTGTTTGGTTAAACACAAAGCTGATATACACACAGGAATTGAAGAAAGGCACATGCAAAGCCATTGTTATTCAATTGTTCTACCAGTCAATGTCACATAAACTAATGAAGACAATTTTTTGGCAGAAAGAAAATAATATTTTTCAATGGAATTTGATAACAGTCTCTTGCTTTCTAAATCATACTGTTTCATATCAAGCCCCACCTACTGGTGAAACCAAAAATCCTTCAGAAAAGATCCTCACATGGTTAAAATTGTTTCAGTTTCCTGTCATCGTCCAATCTCATTAGGATGTCACGGCTAACACCATAGTTTAACAAGCTCGAACTTCTGCTCATTTAACATTTAGTATCAAATTCAAAACATTTGAACACGTTTTAAAGTGAGAACAGTGATGTGTTCAATGTGTAAATGCTAACATAATGAACCATTTCCCATCTTTAATTAAAAAAAGAAGAAAAAAAAAAACAGCCAAAGGCAAAGTGATGTAATTTCCTGAAAACCTCTCTCTGCTGTTTTTAAACTTGATTAAATGATTCTTTTAGCTTTTTGTTTTTTTTAAACAATGGTTTATTTTTGCCTCTGTTTGGGTTAACCTTAAGCATATTCTTAGCAACAATTAAGCCAGTTTGTTTATAAACTAACAACAGCCTTCCTCTGTGTCGTAGATACAGTTTATTCAGCCTGTAAACTATACATATTTTGCCTATATTTCTTGGTGTCACTGTCATACATTTGCTAAATCTTTTTGGATAATGCTTTTACTAATGTTTTGGCTGCAGTTTTGTTTTTGTAACGGTTAATGCTGACAATGCGCTGTTCATATAAATAATGACCCTAATGCTGAGTCAATGGAGGTTTTTTTTAATTAAGGGAAGGGAAACTAATATCAGTGACCTCCAGGTTTAATGTCACAGACTAATGAGAAGCCCTGCCATGTGTCTACCGAGTATTTACCTCTGGTTTTTGGTTGAATTTACATTCTTTCCCCATCATTCGTCGTTCTAATATAAACATTAGCTGGAAAGTAATTAGTGGTGACAGTTCAGAATTCACCGTGTCAACCTTGGCTGTCGGTCATTGTTGTAAACACAAATCTTGGTGTCAACCTTGGCTGTCGGTCATTGTTATTGTGCAGTGACACAAAATAAACACAAACAAGATTAGGCCAAAGCACAGGGTGTTGTTACTCATCGTCAGCTGTTCCCTATGTTAGCTGCTGCCTCCTCAGGACACCCTCTCTCCTAATGATCCATTAGTCTCACCGTACTTTTCCTCCACTGGCTGCCTTAGTTCAGAATACACACCCACTCTATGAGCCTAATGAGAGCCAAATGATAACACTGGGTGGAAACAGTTTGTGCATCTCTGTAACTGCACTATGTTTTTATTTTGCTATAGACAGATCCCATGTCAGATTACACTTATATGTATGCTGAGTGCACGATATGAAGAATCACAAGGATACACAATGAGTGGGGAAATACGGGTTGTTGACAAAAAGACGCTAAAGTTTTTCTCCTAAAAGAACAGATATGGCAACAAAGTATCTGTGACCAGAATATTTGGGATATTAGGATCAACTGAAATGACGACAATTGATGCCTCTGTGTCTAACGTAACATGCAGCTCACAGCAGTGAAGGAGAAGTACGCTAGTACTGCAGTGGTGTGATGAAAAAATACCAACCACAGCATGTGCTATTTATATATTTCAAAATGTCTGAAAATGACACAAACCTACATGAGGATAATGTACACTTCCTAACTGACCTGATATGGAAGGGACAAAAAAGAAAGAGCGATTCTATGATTTCATCCTGTTGCCAGGGTAACCGAGCAACAGATGCAGGTCACACAAGTTAAAATCCTCAGTGTGACTTTTGTTTAACACTTTAAATTAATTTTGATTTATTACTTATATATATATATATATATATATACATATAACTACTGCTACTGCGTTTAATTTCACCATCATTTGAAGAGCCTTCATGCTAAACGCTCCGTCGACGACTCTGAATACTTTACACTGGGAAAAAAAAGTCACAGAAATGAATTCTGAGAGAGAAAATAATTTCTCAGAATTCTGATTTAAATGTTGGAATATCTGGAAATGGTGGACATTTCCTCTCTAGTTTTGGAAACTACTAAAGGACCTACAGCCTGAAACAAATGTGTTCATTTTCAAGAGACGGTGAGAACAACAACAAAGTCTCTTTAGACAAAGACGTTTCATGTTTCAACAGCAATTAGGGGAAGTCTTTGCTCACTTCCCAGAATTCCAGAGCCTCCCACTACAGCACATGTGACACGTGCAAAGCATTGTGGGAATGTGGCAAAAACAAAAACACAATGAAGGCAAAGTGGTTATGATGGAGATGGCAGATTTTGAGTTGATGGAGGAGGAGAACAATGTGTTTGAAAATAAGCCAGTGTAGATTTGACCACGCCCACTTCAACGTCTGACCAATCGTCAACAGTGTGGACGTCTAAAACTCTCCACCAACCAAGTCATAGTTACGACTTCTTCGTTAACTCTTATGTTGCTAACAGACCTGTCATTCAATCCTGAATCTCCAGATGAACTCATTCAGTCAGAGTCATTCAGCTGCTGCAGCACTGACGCTACAGAGTCTGTGGATCTAGATGTTCCAGATGTTTCTAGATGTTCCACTGGTTCTGTTTTTCCTACTAGTGTCTCAGAATTACATAATCTGTTATTAAATAAGGGAATGATGAGAATCAAAAGATCAGCATGTGGATGTTTTTGACTCAAATGTTTTCACTTTAATTTCAAAACACGTCCAAATTCTGGCTGAAATCTCAAATCAATGATAAATAAATCAAATTTGAACTAAAATCTGAGAATATAGTAGAATTCAGATATAACACATCTCAATGGACAACTCAGATTTCTAAGGAATAACTCCTGCACATCTATCTTCACTGATCCATCCTTAGGTTACAGGTGGCTGTAAAAAAATCCACACAGCTGGTTGATTTTAATGGGTGCAGTGTTGATGCTGCTGGAGTTTGATTTTTTTCTGTTGCTGTGGTTGGAGGATCTGAGTGTGTGGGAGGACCTCACATGGCATCAGCGGGGGAGAGGCAGAGATGATGGAGAAGGAAGAAAGGGGAGAGAAAAGGAAGGAATAAAAAAAGAGAGAGTGAGATAGAGAGATTGAGAGAGAGAGAGAGAGATACAGAGACAGAGAGAGAGAGAAGAAGACACAGAGGAGACGTTGAGGTTCTTGGTCCAGAGAAGCAGAACCATCTCAGATGTGAAGTGTGCTTCAACTTACACACTTTGCACGCACAGAAAAAAAACAAACAAAAAAAACTCACCATGAACTGGACGTTGTCAAAGCCATTGGCGAGCAGGTGGTTCTCGTACTGGACCAGACCGATGGAGTCCAGCCACTGGCCCACAGATTGCATCGGGCAGCGGGGACCTATGAGAGGGTGGAGGGGCAGACGCTTAAGTAGGGAGTAGCCGTCCACGCGGTAGCAGCGGCAGTCCGGCTGCGAGAGTTGGCACTGCCACATCATGTTGTGGCGGGCAAAGTGGCTGTCGAAGGAGCCCGCCATGCTTTGGTTGGGGGAGTCTTGGGGAGAGAGGGAAAAAAAAAAGGAAGGAGAGGAGGAGGTATGGAAAAGAAGAGGGACAGGAAAAGAAGGAGGAGGCTAAGGTAGAGGCATGGGGAGGAGGGTTTGGGTTAAAGGTGTCCAGCTGCTGCTGTCTTCTCAATCCACTCAGATGCAGAAGGAGAGGAGCTGATGGATGAAGTTATATATCCAGAGAAGATGCTCCTTCCTGGGGGTTAGATTCCTGCCAGGAGCTGGTTGTTTAGGATTTAGAGATCCATACGGGAGAAAAAAGTACACTGAGTGCTCACGGGAGCGGACGCAGCAGCAGCAGCAGCAGCAGCGGAGGCAGGGTTGGTTTTCAGCTGTTGCGCTCACTGTGGCTGCTGCTGCTAAGTGAGTGTGAGAAAATCTCAGTGTGCATGTGTGTTTGAGTGTGTGTGTGTGTGTGAGTGAGAGAGAAAGAAAGAGAGAGAAAATGAGCCAGCGCTGCCTCTACCAACTACTCCCACTCTCATCTGTATGCTCCTGCAGCCTCCTCTTTCTCTCTCCGCTCCTCTCTGAGCTCTGCTTCCTTGCCTCCTTCCCTCACTTCTCTTTGGCTCTTTCTTCTCACAAGCTTTTCCCATCGTCACTCTCTCTCTCTCTCTCTCTCTCTCTCTCTCTCTCTCTCCTCACACTGATCTTGCCTCCCTTTACCTTCAGCAGCAGCAGCAGCAGGAGCAGCAGCTCCATCTTCTTTGTCTCTCCTCCCTCCCACTTATTTGCACCAAGGCATGTCATGCAGTCGACGTCCATGCACAACTTCTGCTAAACTTCACTGCCTGTTGTGTGTGTGTGTGTGTGTGTGTAAATTGGTGCAGAGGGTTGTTGCTTTGCACTCACAGAGGGAAGAGAAAAGAGAAGGAGACATGAGGAAAGGGAAGAAGTGAGGAGCTTCAGCACCAGGAGCAGGTGGACAGCGCAGTCTAAATGAATACGGAGCATCAACATGTGTTCAACAAAGGTGAAGGAGAACCGCACAAACAGGAGTGGTCGTCTACACCTCTGTCCACATCTGCACTCTGAGAAACGCTGTTGCAGTTTAATGTCACGGTTAAAGCCAAGACTCAGACGTCTCTATCAATTCTGATATATTATTAAATATCAATTTGTTTGTATACTTTTGTCAATTGTTGATCTGTGTTAGGTTTTTATTAAACACTTAAAAACCCTTAAAAAATTGACCATTTGAAAACAGCAAAAACAATTTTTGACCTATATATCCTAATCTTGTATTCATATTGTAACTAAAAAAAATACATTTTTTTATTGTTGTAGACTGACTTCCATTGCCAAGTCTGAACCGAGGGTCAAGATGGCCAAGTTAAGAAGAATGTTCTTAATGATAACAGTTCCTTGTAAGTTCTGTACAGAAGCAGACGGCACTATTTTATTTACAGGGTAATAAAAACTTTAATTTTGGGGGGCGAGAATTGAGGCTTATTTCTAAAACAATTAATCATGTTGCTATAGATTTGTCCTATTTTTAAATGTTATTTTGGTTCAAGTGCATGTGGGTTCTTTTAATTTTATGTCTAGATTTACTTTACTGCCGCACTAGCAAATTCTAAAAACATGTACAGATTTTGTTTACGTTTTTTTCTCCTAATTATTACTTTTGTATCTTTAGCCCATCTATGGCAGTTTGTGGTCTAATTTCTGGATATGATAACAATATTGAAACAAACACAGAATCTGTTTTTGGCAGCCCCCCCCTTCACTCACCTCCCACAATGAATATCTAACTTGCTGCCTGTGCGTCTGACCGGTTCGACAGAGATTAGCTTCCTGATTTGGTGCCTCTTAACAGAAACATTTACATCCCCCACTATTGACTTTTTCCCATTGTTCACCCATGCCTTCACTTTTCCTTTCACGTTCTCCTGCCTCTAGGTTACGATAATGCATCGGACCACATTTCCCACAGGAGCGCTCTGAAGCTCCTGGATGCATTAAAAATAGCACAAGGACGTTTACTTCCAGTGGAAATACACAAAATGAGTTTCAGATGGTTTTAGTTGGAATCTAATAAATGTACTTGTGTATCGCTCAACAGTTTTCGTCAACACGGTAAATCTTTGAAGGAAAAGCTGTTAAATTTAAGAGCCCAGTGTGATTATGTGTTAGGCAGAAAATAAAGTTAAAGACGACCTTTGTCATAAACATACTTCTTGGATTAAATCACTTTCGTAGTGTTATGTTGTGGACGTGTAGGTCTGACTCATTGCTAACTGCTAGCATTAGCTAGCTTTTTAAATCAGTAAATCAGTTCTGTATATACAGTTATCTTGCATATTTCTTGAGTGTTAGTTGCTTATTCTTTTTCTTTCAGAATAAAACTGAATCATTCATTTGTCATATAAACATTAATGGTCTCTTTAAGTAGGACACGTTGCATTTTGTAAAATATTTTTTGGGCCTTGGAATATTTTTGGGTCATTGTTTAATTCGGGGTAAACAATTAAAAGTATACAAGACCTTAATTAAAATAAATATTTTCCTGTGTCATGAGATGGAACTTCTTTTTTTTTAGATATTTTAACATGAAGAACATTTTGCATTTTATTCAGTCCCACTCATAGTTCTCTGGTCCTTACCTGAAATATCCTCCTTGATGTCCAATCCACTGCCTATTCCGGCGCCGATCGAACTCATAATTTTGTCAATCTGAACAGACAGGAAACAGAATGTGTGAAAACTAGAGTTAGTGTGATGCACAGCATGTGCAGGTGAGGAAAAAACACTCATTTCCCAGTAATAAGGCTAACTGCTATTTCTGGATTCAAGTGACACATGACAACATGATCATTATGTCGGCATTCTGAATGTCAGTCCTTCCCTGGGTGAGCACAAGGATGGAAAAAAAAAAAAAGATTTGTTAGCAAAACTCTCCAAGACAGACTGAAGTAGAGATAAAGGAGGAGAGGGTTTAATGGAGCTGCTGTGGCCTCATTAGTGCCATCCCAAGATCAGCATGGGTCAGAAGACCTGGATGATCTCAATCAGGACATCAAGAAAATGTCTCTTTAACAGTCTGTCCTGGGAGGATTTGGTCTCTGTTGTTCCTGTGGGTGAAGTTTGGCAGCTGTCTCCCTGCAGAGCTGCAGCTGTTCCAAGAGAAATGTTTTTGGAGCCAAATCTGACAAATGGAAACAGTGTTTACAAGCTGTCCAACTATAAAGTCGGTCTAGTCTTGGGATGTAATAGTAAATGGCCAGCAATCAAAACACCAGGATGGCACTAAATCACAAAATACAAAATACAAATAGAGAACAGAATCAATTAACACCCTGGATAATTCAACATTTTTATTTTACTTGCCAAACTGGCAAATGTACACTGTACCTTTATACTATTTGTTCATCAAATCCATCACTAATATATTTACGCTTTGGCAGATAAACCTCTGGATGTAAAAGCACTGCACTAGGAACTCATCACCTTTGAAAACCCAGAAAAATCTCAAAACTTCAGCAACTCCTTCATGCTAAGCGGGATTAAAGAAATTAACAAAACAAAAAAAAACACTGCTAGCGCTAATAAGCGGATGCATCCAGGTCATTGAAACCCCCCCACCCCCCACCCCCCCGTGATTCATCTGCAGTTCATACTGCAACTCTGTCTCCAGCATGTTCCTCTAAACACACCCTTTAACGCATCATCCTACAGTTTCCCTGAAGCCGTCTTATCTCATCTCAGCTCATCCTGCAAAAGACTGCTATTATGCAAGACAAGGTCAACTTAATTGCTGGGATTTATGCAAAACTTGTATGGCAATTTATCACCATCAGCAACTTAGGAGCTGAGTGAAGGAAGTTAATAAACACCAACATGCTAAGGGAGATACATACACAGTGTGTATTAGCATTAATTCAAGCGTTGATGACGGCAGGAGGAGGAAGGAGGGTGTATGTAACATTTCAGTAATTGTCTTATTTAATGGTCCATGTGGGAAATATTTACCATTTTAGCGGTATTTCTGGGCTCCTTCTTTAATCTTAATCGTTAGGATTTTTTATGTAGCATTTTATGCTTACAAAACCAATTTATTGGCTAACTATTAAGCTATAGCCTAATTCTTTATATCAACTGAGAATAATATTTACATATTTTACTGCTTTTAAACCATTTTAAAATAAAAAAAGCAAAGGGTTGCTGAAAGCCACATTGGAGTTTGTAAATGTACTAATGTGCATTTGAACTTCAATAACAACGTGTGTACCTCCTCCCACTCTGCTGTGAAAGAAGGTGTTCTCTCCAGTCTTCCAACTGGAACGGCTGGAACTTCTCCTGGGTTTGGACTTCCTGGCCCCTGACCCCGAGATCCAGACCCCCAACTGTGCTCCTCCTGTACAAAGGAAACACCATTAGAGGCAAAGAAAACTATTTGGAGAATGCAAATCATCACACCGCGTCTTTCACAGCTCATCACTATTTCAGATGTAACAAGTTCATCGTCATCAAACAGACTTTATTTATGTTTTTGACGGTTTGGGTATAAAAGGAAAGACGGAGAAAGCGGTGCTTTAATGAAGTATACTGCACAGCAGGGAGCGCTCTGGTCCAAATCTGTCATTCATCTGATTGGCTGGACTGAAAATCTGTGACTCTCTGAAGTCACACTGCCTGCTACAGCAACATACATAACCACAAATGCATAATGCATAGCAGTGAATATTCTTTGTTTAGTTCTGATGTAAGTAAAGGTGTTCAGTGTACAGTGCAAACCCAAAATAGTATTTAGTCTGCCTGAAAAACTGTTGAATAAAACAGTTAGATGAAAAAAATGCTAAAATATTTGCATAAACCAAAGGAGACAATCAAAAACGTAAGTAATCCATTAGCTGAGTGCTAAAAAAAAAAGCTTCTGCAATAAATGTTTTTAAAAATCCTCCAATTTGCCATAGCCTAGATATAATAAAATATAATACTAATATTGGTTGCCTTTTTGAAAGAAAGATTTGCTTTCTGTTATTTGGACTAGAATTTTGATTTTACCTGAATGGGAGACACGGACACCAGGTTGGAGTCAGACTTCGAAAGCGACTTGGACAACTGCAGGTCCATCACACTGCGGGGCATGGACCTCATTCTTCCCAGAGTACAGGCTCGCTCTTCGTATCCAGGTCCGTCTTCACCTCCTGTGTCTTCCCTGTTCTGATCAGAGTAGTAGGACGGGGGTCGGTCTAGTGTAGACCAGCCCCGGGAGGAATCCACCTGATCACAGTTCTTGGATCGAGCCTGTTCTTGGTTGACCCTGGTGTGGAAGATGGTCCGGTAAACCACCTGAGGCTTTTGAGGATTGCTGGTGGTGCTCTCCGATGAGCACTGACTTCCTGTTCCTGTCCTGGAGAAAACCTGGGTAGGTCCTCCTCCAATCACGATGCTGAATTCTGGAGTTTGCAGCAAACTGCTCTGAACTTCTGTAGAGCTGTACTTTCTAGTCTTGGGGCTGTAGAGGTGGTACGGAGTGTCAGGGTTCTCACAGGCTGGAGAAGACCCATGAAGAAGACCTGCAAACTCCTCTGGAATGTGGCTTTTCCTTCGATCCTCCACTTGAGCATTTGATGAGGAGGAAGGGCACGACGGAGGAGGTGGGGGAGGAGGTGGAGGAGGAAGATCCCGCTGGTAAGGCCCGTCGTCTGTAAGGAAAGAGAGGAGCTGTGAATATGGAGAAATTCTGCCAAACAACACAAGCTGAACGCTGTTCCCTGTGTCATTAAGGCAGACGTTACACAACTGACTGCCTATTTTTTGGGGGCACTTTGTGCAAAGGATGCTTTCAAAAATTGCTCTCTGTCTGGGGGCAGTGAAGCGAAAGGAAACAGCAGAAAGCATCGTCCCAATCTCTGGATGCCTCAGTTAAGGCTTTCACTTTAAATCTGAAGTTCAGACATCAGTCAAAAATGAAGCTACAAATTCATAATGAGAAGAAAGAAACCTATGACATGTTTGGTCATTAGCTAACACCCTAAACACGACAACAACACTGAAAATGCAGCACTTTTAGGTTTCTGGAGATGCACTTTTTATTTCCTGATTACGTTAGATACCTTTGCTGCTCACATACTACAACACTACAGCTTCACCCTGAGCAGAGGTAGACTGGTCAAACAACTATGACAACAAAGCAAACCCCAAAAGCAGCTTTTGATTTGCATCTGTGCCGGCACACAAAACTAACTCAGTAGAACACTATCAAAACAAACCAACCACATGATGATTTACTCTTAGCAAGCAAGCTAAAAATCATCAATCAGTATATTTCTAGTGGTGAGGAACCAGGTTGCTTTTGGACTCTTCAACACAAACACAAGTCAAATATATTTCAGGTTTAAGAATTCTCCTGAAGGAAAGACATGCCTCTATTCCGTGGAGTGCAGAGTCATGTTAGAAGTACGGCATAACTGTCCTCCTAAAAGAACAGATTCCAAATGCCAAAACATCTTTCGGCAGTATACATTGAACTGAAAAAAAATCTCATCCTACAAATGCAAAATAACCTGGCGTTATTGGTTGTATTACTATGATAATTATAAAATGTTCCATTGAGCAACTTTCTCCTCAGACTCAAAATAAATCTTTAACTCAGAACCAGCCTGAAGCCAAACAGTAACAGAATGTTCCAGCGAGATTCAGGGCTGAAACTCCACAGCTCCACAGCTCTGTTGGTTTGTTTATTAGTTTCAGTTACACAGTGTGCCAACAACTGAATGTTACAGTCACACAGTTGACTTAAGGGGAAAGATAAAGTGAACTCAGCCATCGGCCAGGTCAGTGGAAAAAAGGAAACGTAATAATATAAACAGATCAGAAATCAGGGTTCTACTAGTAAAAGACACATTTATTTTATAAACAGATCAGAAATCAGGGTTCTAACAAAAATCCCATATTTAACAACTTTGTTTACTATTAAAAGACGCATTTATTTGTTTCGGTTTTTATTGAAATTAAACAGTTAATAATTTAGTATCAGTTTTAAATTTTAATGAATTATCTTTTAATAGAAAAAAAGTCATCATCATTTTATCAAAACTAATTCACAATACATAATGCAATGTTTAACTAATTTTGTTTATTAGCTGCTTTTTGTGCCATTTTATTTAATTGCAATATAAGAAGTGTGGGGCTAGCTAATGTTAGCTATTGCTTAAAGAATTTTTTTTGTCATATTTATACGATCTTAAGTAACAAAAGAAGGGCTAGTAAACGAATGTGGAAATAAACGGCGTCCCGGTGACGTCGCAAAAAAAATAAAACAAAACCCAACCTCTCTCAACATCAGTGCATTTTCGTTTCCAACTCTTTTTACCTTTAGCTACGCTCAATAATTTTGTCTTCCTCTCTCTTTCAGAATTTCTAGAAACGAAACAATAGCAACAAGTAAGCCTGTGGGTTGCTATGGCAACAAAACAGCCATCCTGAGTTTTTCCTCCTGAGTTTTTCAGCTTCGTCCATAGTTTGTTTGAGTGTTTGAATGACTGTGGCCTTTCAGGCTGAAGGGGAAAAGGCAATTCAATCAGCATGTGTTTGACTGGACTTAGACCAGAGAACGTTGTCAACAGCTTTAGAGACAGAAATAACCGGCTGAGGCAATTTGGAAGAATAATCAAGAATTTAAAAAAAAAGTGTGAAACCAACAACTGTAGCATTGAACCCAGTATTGACATCCTGACGACCAGAAAAAAACGAAAACTAATTTGCCTCGACTCAGGTTAGACACTCTCCCATTTATCTTCCTGTCTCTTAACTAATCAATGATTCCCTCTGTGCATTGTTTTGACTTCATTACTCATCCATTCTGGGAGCTAAATACCTCTCTACTGTTTTACTGCAGTGATGCATTTTGTTGGATGGCAGTAAGGAAACCAGACCTTGGAAATTCACCTTAAATATATCTACATGGTTTTCATACAGTATATTATATATTAGCATTTAGCACAAACAAATGTAACTGGTGTCTACGTGCCATCATTACTGGGGGGTGAAGGATCTTGAAGGTAAACAGTGAATCAAACAAATGAAATATTCAGTAAATGCATGTATTATTACTATAGTCAAAGCAAAATATTGTTTGAATGAAATATTTTTGTAAGTTAATAAAACTTTAACTATGATAAAGTGTAGATGTTTTCAGCCCATCTTGAACTGTGATGTCATACTACACAATATTGTTCTAAAACTGACTCAAAATTATTTAACAGCAGCAAAGCAGGTAACTGATTCAACTCAAGGAGCATATTGGAGCCATTGAGGATAAAGGCAAAGAAACTGTCAGGGTTCAAAAGCAAAGCTGAATTTGTATAAAGAATACAACAAACGCATCCAAGAAACAGAAGTCTTCAAGTATTTTCCCACATCCAGTTACATTTAATAGATAGATTACAGCAATGTTAGAGGGGGCAGATGCAGGATTTAGTCTGACTGACTGGAGTGTGACTGGAAACAAAGGAGTTGCACAGAGGCAAAAGAAAAAGCAGAGGAGGCTTTGATAGATGACAGCGAGGGGGAGGTGAAGTGGGAGGATGTGTGAGGAGAGCCAAACAGTGAATGGCTGCTAGCTACAAGCAGAGAGAGAGAGAGAGAGAGAGAGAGAGAGAAGAGTGGATGAATGCTCCTGGAGAAATAAAAGAGTGACAGAATGAAGGATTGAAGGATGACATAGGGCAGCGGGTGGTGAAATGAAGGGGTGGAGGAAGGAAGACTGCGGGTCACGTGTCCAGAGAGAGAGCTCAATCTGTCGCAGTCCACATTCAGGAGAGGCCATTAGTATAATGGTTGGGGAAACAAGAAGTTTTCACTGTCAAACACTGAAGAGCACATGTCAGGTTGAACATTTGTACTGAGCGAAACTGAGAGATTTCTGAATGTGGAAGTGATCATTCATCAGCCTTAGATTCATGGATCATTCTGAAATGCTACATTTCTCTTTTTGTCCGCCTTTCTAGTCTTGTGTTTCCCAACCGTTTTTAGGTCACAATTAAATTTTACATTAAGACTGAAATTGAACGGCCCAAATAACTCACAATGTACTAACTCGATGTGCAACTGGAGTTTGTTTAGATGAAAACGATGCTGATGTAGTCACAGGAATTGAAGAAAGACTTCGTTTTTTTCTTGTTTTTTTTTTACCTTACTGTTACTGGACTCAAATAAGTAAGTAGCATGGAAATCCTAATTATTGAGATGCATATATGTGTTTTGTATTTATTTATTTTATCTATTTCAATTTTTATTCTTTTTATTTATTTTGCAAGATTTCAGTTTCTTTTAAATGTTATTACAATTTCTCTACTTCTCTACTTATACATAACTATTTAATATAGTTCATGTATTAGGTGGTAGATTGTTTTTAACTCTATATTTTTTTTCTTATCTAAATTTAGATCTAGTTCATTTATTATTGTAATATAGTTTTTCTATTAATGTCCTCAGATTTTATGAACCATTTATTGTCTTACACGTGCGGTCTGACAGTAAAAGTCCTTGAATCCTTGACCCAAACACCCTCCAGCCACAGAACCAAAGGGTTTTTCTGGATTTGTCATAATAGAACTGTATTTGACAGCATAAAGAACTGACAGATTATGTCTGTGAGGTTGTGTAAAAACCTGATAAAATTATATGTGATTTCCTATTTTTTTATATACATATTTCATACAAAGAGAAAAGGCACACAAACACAGTAAACACAAACTCTCATTACCAGTCTGTGTGTCTGTGTGTGTGGGGTTGACACAAACATCTGATAGTGCCATGATGTTCACTGCATCGTCTCTTGGCGCCGAACTGACTGTTATTAAAAACAACAGAGTAATATCTGGGCTGTCACTCATCCCCGACATTAGAGGCCACCTCTTATTTCCACACAGAAACAGGCCAAGGTAAAATATTATCATCTCTCTGAGCCTCGGGCGCTAAGCTAACCTTTAGTTAGTGCCCAGCTATTCTAACAAACCAATGTCAAGACACTGCTGGAAATTCTCCCGTGGTTTCCGGCTGTGGTGGGTGGGATGATGTAAAAAGATGTAACAATTCTTAATTTAAGAAAAAAGTTAAATGCAAAAAGGCCACCGACTGTACATATAAAATGGAAAAAGGTTTCTGGTTTTAAAGGACTGTTGCAAAAGAAACATTTAGGAAAACGGCATAAATAAAAAACATACATTTTTCTAATGGTCTAATAAGTTGATTATTTTGGATAGAAACCAATCAGTAACATGTTATTCTCACCAGGATGAAGACAGTGATCATCCAATGCAGAGAGACTACACAACCAAATAAGGAAAACAAACTGACACATCTTAACAATGACTATTAAACTGACCTGAGCTCTGATTGGCCGTCATTACTACCTAATCTAATAAATCTGTGACTTGACAGAACACTTGATGAGCAGTGAAAGTGCAGCCGGTCCGGCTGTGCGCTCAGCGGACGCTCACCCCTGCAGCTTCACATCACGGCTCCATTAAACGTAACAGAAACACAGACCATGAATTCTATTACCTCCTGTTTGTGACCTTTGCCCCTGCCGGTACACTAACAAGGAGCAAACAAGCGCAGAGAATAAAAGCCACTTTTCACCCAGTGGGACTCCATCAAACAGAGACGGAACTCTCCGCAGACACAACCGTTTGGTGCCTGGCAGTCTCCACATTTATACGTGGACCACAAAGACTGATATCGACTTCATACTTGGATTTCTGACTCCTTTACATTTCTAAAGCAACTGGCTTCTCTCCCAGAAACCTATTACTCATTTCTGGTGAAGGTGACAGCCGAGGCAGCCTCGTTCTATTGTCACTGAAAATCCATTTGTTTGTGTGTTTGTGTGTGTGTGTGTGTGTGTGTAGGTCTGTGAATGTACTGTATGTGCAACACATGTTTAAGATGGTTAGCCCTAAAATTGAAATTCTGTTGGAGAAATAAATATACAGATATACATTTTATAACATAATGTATATTACGTGAAATGGCAAATAGAAAATGTTTTAAACAAAAAGAATTAGAAAAAAAAAACCAATTAACCAAAGGATCATTAAGACTCGTCCACCCATTACTAATGTTTTACTGATTTTAATTAGTGCTGCAAAATTGTCCATATTTCAGCTGTGAAATATTTTCAAATAATATTCAGGAGAATTAGCAACTAAAAGCTATTCCTTTCCATCAAATTTGCACAAATCTAAAATCCATAAAATACTATTTTAATAAGTAACTAAAATCCCTGCAGCCAAATAATCTGCAGTCAATGAACCCACAGCGGCAGGAGAGTTTTTGTTGGTGGATCTGCATAAATCCAACTGCATTAACATAAAACTGCAGTGCAGTTCATTTGGCCCGATGCACTGGGTTGTGGGAGGGGGTAACTTAAGGAATGTTCCCCTCTGTGATGCTCAACGTTACGTAAAACTGTAGTTTCACAGCAGCAGCAGCAGCAGCAGCAGCAGCAGCAGCAGCAGCAGCAGCAGCAGCAGAGGTGGAGGCG